TAAGCTGTATTAATTGTGTCACTAATGCTATTAATTATAGCACTCATCGTAATTTTGCGACTTTATTGCTTATCTATAAATAAAAATGAAAATATGTTCAATTACAAGCTTGGGTGGACTTTCCCTGACGCTATTAAAAGTCAACAATAACCACAAAGTCAATAATTACAAACAGGGGATGTCGCTTCCCTTGTGAATGTATTATTTTTAAAAGAAACAGATAAGATATTTTCTCTTTCTGGTTTCTAAATTGGTGAAATAGGAGCCATGACGTGTCGCCCTCTGCGGTTCCTTTAATGGCTGTGGGTTCCGATCTCTTTTCCACTTTGCAGTTTGCTTAACCGGAACTTTTCTAACCAAATAGAGACAGTAAGGGGCGGTGCCGGATCCATGCCTTATTTGGAGTTTCCACTTCGGCTGCGAGCCTGGCGCTGCCGTACGAGCCGGGGTTCTGATAATCTGCACAGAGCTTGCAATATTTACAAGCGATTAAGTTTCCTAATTGGCGTCTTTGTCGTCCAGTGGTGTTACATCTGATTTCTTATGTATCCAGTTTATGAGCAGAACCCCGCGAATCGATTGGCTTGTAAGCACGCTTTATTTGGCAGTCACGCCTCTGTGCCTTTACAGATCGTCGTAAGAGGAACCCGCGGAGAGGCGAAAACTGTTTTTTTTTCCATTTTCCACTATTGCGTCTTGTCGCCGGGCCTAACCCAAGGAGTTCATATCGAGGTGTTAAAACATAGACAATACTATTTTTGTTGCGTGCGAATCTAAAAGTTGTATATATGTGGAATTATAACGACATTTTTAAAGTTCTACTGGCTGGATCTGTAGGTTCAGTCCTTTCCCCCCGCCAATAGCGGTACAGCCAATAGCTGAGCGAGCGTATTGAAGCAGTCAGTTGAGAGACCCTACCTGCCTTATTCCTATCCCACTCTCTCTGGATGTCTTTATGTGTGAGGCAGAGGTGAGTAATTGGTTTTAAATAGGTTGCCAAACACAGCGGCGGTGCTGCCAGGTCCTTCGTAATCACCCCATTCATCCCACTGAGGTCATCTTAAAAACTAGCGTTCTGAGCTGCCCACAGGTCGGTGCGAGTGAAAGTAACGCAGCAGTAGCGTGTCGCTCTGGGCTGAACCGAGCCAGGGTGGGGGTGTCATGCAGTTCCGCAGATGGACTTCTCCCGCTGCTGGAGCCTTCAGTTTGAGACCCTCTGCCGTGAAGGCTGCCGATGCACGCTTACGTACAACGCTGACATTCTGATATCAAGTTACTCATCAGTCGCCATTTAATAAATATATAGGCCTACCCACGTTCACTGTTTATGTACTTTGGAGGTATTTATTATTAATAACGAATCATGAGGAATGTAAAAGATGCAATAGAGTTGGGATCACGAGGTCAGCATCCGTGGGTTTTGATAATTTGATAACTTGGTTTATTAATCTCGCTTATTTTTTGAAGTGTAAGTCGTGCGGTGCTGTAGGCTGTACATTAAAGATACATCATTATTCACGTATTTAGTTTTGTGTCTAACGCTGTTCATTGTTGGCACGGCTTAATGGCACGTGTCTAAATACACAATACCCCACGAGCGTAAATTATGAAGGGATGGGGGTTCCAACCAATACATCTCCCTGGAACCTCTTAAATGGGTGGAGACCCCAACCCCCCATGCTCAACCAAAGTTATGCCCTTGCAATAACTAATCCTTAGGTACGTAAAAACTCCATTTTAAAGCTGAGATAGTTGTATGTGTATGCGGTGCGCGACAATGCTCAAGACAAAATTTATCCCATCGCTCGAGTTTGCTCTTTAGGCTATACATTTGGATACAACAGTAATGTACTTTTAATCTAAATAAAAGCATTTTGAAGGGCTTTGGGACGTGCGGAAACACAATAATATTTTTGGCAACACGTGGGATGTATCGGTGTTTTTAAAAAAATAATAATTGTACGGATTTTGAAAGTGTGTTCAAGTTATGGCGATAAAAGAAAATTATATATCAGTCGGCAGATCGCTGTAGCAGGTCCTCCGCAACCCCCAGCAGCTCGCCTTCCTGCTATAGAATCTAATGTTCCACTATGAGGTGCTTCCATTGGTGACGTGAGCCGGACCGCCTTGCTTTGTATGTCCTTAAATGGTCATCTACGTCACTCCGTTGTTCCGTCCCACTATTTAATACCAGCAAGCGTTGGAGTTCCCTATCTGAGCAATACACCGAGCTGCGCTACACTTGTTCATCTAACACCACGGTTCCATTGATTAAAAGACTTTATAACAACAACAAGCAAACAAATATATTTTAAAAAGAAAATTCACTTCTGAATAATTATCCAGCATAACAACAAAGAAAAACCAGCGCTACCTTTTAAGAACTTCTGTTGGATACAACACCACCTGGATTTTTTCTTCCTTTGATCACCATTACTCTTCCAGATCGCGATTCATTGTACTGTCCATCGGAGAACACGTTTGGTGTATCTGTGGGGATAACATACGCGTTCCCTTTTATGACAGACTGAATAACTGCTATGACAGGGAAATTAGCGGACAAGCTCCCTCTTACCATGAGCAGTTTAATAAATACGATTCCTGACAGCCTTTACCCTGAAGAGGACATTCCTACGTCTATGAACATTTTCACCAGCACGGATTCTATTTCTCACTATTCGCAGATGAATTCAGGTAAGAGTGAGATATTTACGCTTGGATGTTAATGTAAAACGTATTTTGTTAGTGGCTCGCAGTGAGACGCTCCTTCAACTATACGCCGCGCTCGCTTCAGCTCTGAAGCGCCGGCGAGGCAACAGTTGTCTTGACGGCTACGGAGAGCAGCATTCGGAGCTTCCGACACCTGTTTGCGCTCCACCGTGCGGTGCGTTTACACTTAATTTATTTTACAAATCCTTGTCATACATCACGGTTTTACTTTTGCTTTCATAATGTGACAGTTGAGACTGCACAGTTTACAGTTGCAATTGTTTGGATTTATAAATATTCCGTAGCTGCCAATACAGCACAACAACAATGCTGTTATTTGAACGCCACGACAGTTATTTCCAAGGTTCTGGATGTCCACATGGGGACATGACTGTTCTCTACAATAATCTTCATCGTTCTGCTTTCCTAGCCTTCTTTAATTATTTGTTTGGCATACATATAGCTGTGTTATACGTGATACATTTTTGATGCGGAAAATGAAATGAAATAGGCCAGCCTAATTATTATTATTATTTATATATCATTATTATTATACGTATAGTATTTGTTTTGATATTTAATTTAATTTCTCCCCCTTATCAGTGGATAAGTGAATCTGTATGCGCCTACACTGGTGGGTGTGTAGGTATGCATGATCGCAGTAATAATTCTCTTGAAACACGTTGCTTTAACTTGAATATTGTAGATATTGTACGCACGGGCGAATAACGTGTAACAGCGGAACACGTTACACGTTGACCCACGCACCGCGCACAACTTTCAGGAAAATTCTGTCTACATTATACATATGAGTGAGCACGTAAAAATTCAGTTTTTAAGAATATTCTCTCTATTTCCCCGAATACAACTGGTACGCCATAATATAAATTTTCAGCTATTTGTACTTCTCTGGTACCTTTTCCTTCCTGTTGTTCTTTAGTGGGCGTACAGCGCAAGAGCGCAGGCGGGCTTAGTCCGTTTCAAACTTCTGAGGTACTATTTAGGCACCAACAACTTGAATGATGCTATAATTATATCATATCAAACTACTTTGCCTATTTACAGTAATATGCATATTTCTAGCTTACAGTAGTGTAACACGATAGAGGTCATGGTAATTTTACTGAAGCAGTGGAAATGATTTTTCTTCAAAGGTCAGGTCAGTTGTTCCTTGTTCTTAAGACTGTAGTATATTACTTTGTTTCCTTGTGAAACCATCCTCATTTTGCAGTTAACTATTGGTATTTGAACATTAATAAGATATTTCGTTTAAATGTGTCAGTTATTTGCTATTACTTTGTAATCGTGATTCGTGGTTTAGCTAAATTATTTATAAAGATAAAGTTCAGCTATTGCTATTTAAGAAACGAGTCCCTGGCAGATATAAAAGAAGCACAACAATTATATGAGTAGCAGGTGTTTTTTTTTTTTTTCAAAAATAGGATAAATCCGCTCATATTATAATAGCAAGACAATGATAAAGAAGATAATTACATAGTAAATAACATCAATAAAGCCTTTAATACACGTATAATTACACAACAAAGTAAAGCAAAGAATAAGCAGCACTCCGTACAGTCGACTATTAATTTAATAAAATTCAACGTGCACGCGATATGCCTGCTGGTCGCCCTTCCGTTTAATTTGACGTTGAAATTGTAAAGTGATTTTTAAAAGGTAGAATAGTGATGCTAAGTAACTAACAATCCAATATGTTGTTTATTTCACAGGTGTTAGCAATTCATCTAGTGTTTACCGTTTGCTCATTTTGATTTCGCTAATTGTCGATTGCATTACAAGTTAATAACATCAGGTATCTTGGAACAATGGTACAGTGTTCTAAAGTTTTAAATTAATTCCAAATCTTTTAAAAATTTAAATCCATGACATCAGTGGATTTTGCAGTGCATAGAGGCGTGGAATGACTCGCGTATCCAAAGAAGAAGAATGGCAGCTGTGTAATCCGCCCGACTGAATTAATTTTGCGTATAAATGAATTACATATATTTTATCGCAAATGCTTGGTGTTTAACGTTAATTTAAACTAAATATTGTGAATATTTTAACATGAGTTATTTAAACAGACTCCAGTTACACTGATATGAACAAAAATTTACGTCGTTATTTTGATGCTTTATGTAATTTCAACCAATTTATTTTGTCTGAGACAAGCACTGCTTTGATGTAAGCGACTCATGTGGAAAAAAAAACCACTATGTGGGTTTTGTCCCCGCTGTTAAGCCATTCAGTAACTCGCGCCACAAGCGCATTGTTCCACAAATGCAATCTTCCCCTGTCGTTAGTTATTTTTGGCCTCGGTTCAGCTGGATTTTTAAATACACGATTTGAACGAAACTAATAATTTAATATTCAGTTACAGTAAACACTGGCGCTCATTCAAATTCTATTTCGCATTGTTTAGTCCTGGAAAGTTATCAGGCTTGTAAGAATTTATTTTGTGGCGTAAACCTTTAAACGTATATCTCTAAAATCAAGCAACGTAGCCTATGTCCCATGTCATTTTATTAAATCTCTTAAGTTTAACATGATGAGTAAGCTCATTTATGCTATACATACAATATACATTAGATAGCTATTTAATATGCAATACTGGTTCCTCCAGACAGTTGGCTAATAGGGGTTTAAAGGAAATAAATTAAAATTCAGTGCATTTAATTTGTACTGCACCTCTGTTTTGAATTGTTAAAATGTACAAGATGTTAGGCTGTTTATTAATCTAACGTTTATATACTGTTTTGGGCCTATATTTCTGCTCTGGGTCCAACAATATAACAGACACAGCAAATTCCTAAAATCTCAAGGTTTTTGCAAATGCCCAGTGTGTTGGATAACTATTGTAGACTGTATGCAATTGTGGTTTTGTTTGTTTCATTGTGTTTTCTACCAAGCCAAGTTCTGGTAAACGGATAGCAATTACTGTGAATGGAAGCGTACGCTGTGCCAAAGTAAAATTTTACTGCTGCGTAAAAGGTGATATCTGCAGAACTGTGAGTGTCATGAAGAATTTCGCATCACCCTGTACTTCTAGTCAAATTGTCCTCATATTTACATTATAGCCTGGCTGCTTATACCCCGAAAACTTTTACATCCTGTGTGTTGTTACACCTATAGCAGATTGTTATGCTGGATTTTAAAATATTAGAAATTTTTATTTGGACCTCAGGGAGATTTGTATATGTAGATACTAATGGTCAAGTATGTCTTATGAGAGCTATGCAGACCTTCCTACCACACTAAGCAACAGTATTTAGTCGGTCGTTGGGTCCTCCAACTGCAGGCCGGTGGCAAAATGGCTTAAATGTATTTTAAAATTGGCCCTGATAAACCTCCCCAAATGGACCAGTGCCAAAATCCTAAACGCTGGGTACCTCCTGGGTACAGAATGGGTCGCACCTATCATATTTTAATTGCAGGAGAGCAGCAAGCACCCAACCTGGAGAGCAGTATGGGTCATTTAAAGAGACAGCAGAGGTGTTTTCATAGCGCCCGGCGCGAAAAAATTTGGGCTTGTGGTAAAATGCGGCTGTCCTCTTGAAAACGGTGCGGCAGCTGGATCGTAGGGGGTACTTAGGTCTTGATTTATGCGCGCCTCCGGGATCCGAGCGAGGAAACTTTTTCACAGCAGCATCTGCAGTGACTTGAGTCCCCGAGTCGGACTGTACACTAGCAGGTCTGTGAAACTGTCATATTGTGGCAGATAAACTCTCGTTTTTGCTCCAGATTTGAAAAATTTGAAATTTTGTCAGGTACTGAACTCTGTGTTTGGACAACTCGGGATGATTTTCATTGCCTTCTGTGTCTCGTACTTGTTTGTTTAAGCTGTGAAATCTATTGTCTTTGCTCTGCTTATTGTGTTTTTTTTTTTTTTTTTTGCCTTGTAATAGATTTTCAGGAGGTCAGTGGTGGGGAGATAAGTGAGCCTATTTACAGTTTTCTCTCCTGTTCCTTCTCGTGTTCCAGATAACATCATGAATATGGGCATGGGCAGTGAGAAGGGCACAGCAGAGCTCCAGTACAGCTCCAGCTTCCAGTCCAACCGCAGCGGGCAGACGGTGACCTACCTGGGCAAGTTTGCCTTTGACACGCCTCCGTCGGGAGGGATCGGGGGATCCAGCTGGTGTTCCGATAACAACATCATCAGCCTGGTGAGCGCGGGCATCTTGGGCGTGTCTCCGTCGCCGGGCACCATCACCACCCAGACTTCCACGTCCTCCGGAAGCATGGGCACCCAGTCCTCGGAGCTGGACCAGGTTTATGGGGGCCCCCTACCCGCGTACTCCACCTGCAGCGACATGTACCAGGACCAGGTCTCCTTCCACCACAGCCCCGTCGCCACGGCCACCACCCCCCTACCCTACTCGGGCACTGACTATCACACCACGGCCAAGCCGTCGATGGACAGCAGCCTCTTCTCCATGATTCCCGATTACAACCTGTTCCACCCCCAGGGTGAGGTGGGTGTGATGGAGCACAAGCCTTTCCAAACGATGGACCCCATCCGTCTCAACCCGCCCCCCATCACCCCTCTGGAAACCATCCGGGCTTTCAAAGATAAGCAGCAGATCCACCCCAGCTTCATAGGAGGCCAGCAGCACGCCCCTCAGCACCACCAGCCTACCCAGACTCTGACGCTCAAACCCATCCGGCCTCGGAAGTACCCGAACCGGCCCAGCAAGACGCCAGTGCACGAGCGGCCACACGCGTGCCCGGCAGAGAACTGCGACCGCCGCTTCTCCCGCTCGGACGAGCTGACGCGCCACCTGCGCATCCACACAGGCCACAAGCCCTTCCAGTGTCGCATCTGCATGCGTTCGTTCAGCCGCAGCGACCACCTGACCACCCACATCCGTACGCACACGGGCGAGAAGCCCTTCTCCTGCGAGTTCTGCGGCCGCAAGTTCGCCCGCAGCGACGAACGCAAGCGACACGCCAAGGTGCACCTCAAGCAGAAGGACAAGAAGCTGTCCGAGAAGGGGGGTGGGGCCGCCGGGACCCACAGCTCGCCCCCCAACTCTTGTGCTAGTGCGGGGGGAAGCACCGGCAGCATCATGACTGTCACGACGTGTGCCTAGGGGCTAGACGTCTCCCGGGACCAGACCGGAACCCGCTTTTGTGTCGGGAAAAATCTGGGTTCCTCTCTCTTTCTTCCTCTGCCTTTCTGTTTCCAGAAAATCCGTCGCCTCCAAGTTAAGATGGACTCCTGTTTTTGTGACGGGGACAGGCCAAGAGGAGTCGACCCACAACAGGGCAGGGAAACCAGGGGTTCTGGTTTCCTGCCTCCCACCATGAAGCCAGCGGAGGACTCCGGGGTGGGGGGATTGTTATGGGTGTGGGTGCAGGGGGACACGCCCCAGTGCCCACGCGCTGCTTCTGCGGGGCACGTTTGGAGCTGCGCTCCGTCCCGCCTGGTTTCGGCAGCTTTCATTTCATGTCTCCAGAAAACCCACAAAGAATCTGGAGTGGGGAGGGCGGGGAGCCAGTAAGGCCAGTTTTGGCATAATGGGCAGATTGTGCGATTTTGCTTAAAAGCAAACAAACAAACAAAATATTTGACAGTGAAGGTGAGCTAGTTTGTATTCTTTTCTTGTACGGATGTGTCTCAGTTTCCTTTTTAAAAGTGCAATGCATAGTTTATCCATTAGCCACTAAACTTTAAATGTCCTGTCTTTCTGTTCAAACTGCAAGATTTTTAATATGCTTGCCTAATAACAGAATGTGCCAAATTCAGAATGTAATGATGCAGCCAATATTATCATGAAATTATGCCTAGGGATGACTAAAAAATCCCATGGCACAGAAATGCGTTTACGATTTGGATGTAAGCGATACTTATGCATTATACGCAAAAGGACTCAAATTATCAGTCTGTAGCCATTATACGTTAATTTCTCACTATGTGCGGAGGTCTCGTCTCCTATTACTGTTCGTACAGCAGTGCCACCTCTGTTCAGTGTTATTTAATGCATTAAGCCTTTGCTCTTCGTGAATTATCACATTATGCACGTCAATAAGAATCTTGCATTTTCACAGAAGACAAAGAAAGTCTCTCGTAATCCGCTATGAATCGTAACGCGTCAGGACGCAGAAGTAGCTCTGTCGTCTGACGTCCATGTGGCCAAATTGTTATACATTAGAGATCCAAAGTAAGTCTTCGTGAAACAGCTGGATGTGAATGACAGTGAGCATGGTCGACACCAGAACAGAACAAATCTGTGACCGTAATATTTATGATGCTTGAGTCATCATCATACAAGAAAAATATTGTTTGTTTGTTTGTTTCTGCGTTTATGGGTCTCATTTCATTTCTTTTTTTTTTGTTTCCTGGCTCCGTCCACGTGGACCTTACAGCGTCGGTGATGCTTCTGCACAGCCAGTGTTAAACTGAAAGGCTTCCCTGACACTCGATAGACTGCAATCACATTAAAACAGGCTGAAGCTATAGCACGTCTACCACTGTATTGCAAAGTAACGATGTTTCTGGACACGGGGAGAGCTGAATTTTAAAACCTTTCGTGTGCATTACTGTTCAGACAAGCCTGCCAGCTACATGCCTGCCTACTGAGACCTCGTTCCGAAGAAAACAGTTCAGATATTTTCCATACAACTCCAAGCTATTAAAGCCTAAACAAGTGAAGCGGTATTCGTTTCACAAAGCATTTCCACAGTTACACTTCATGGGAGGAATTTTAAAAACCAAGTTGAGGGACTGAGAATTTTTGTATAGACAGAAATATAGATATATTACTACAACTTTTATACCCAGAATGTAACATGGTTGTCTTCAGTGTTAAACGTTGTGGATGTGTGAATATATATACACATGCATATGTATGTATGTATATAATTATACAAACACAACAAACCGAATGTTTATATAACTGATTTCTTAAAATGCTTTTATGACAAAGCAAAATATTTGTAAATAGAGTACAGAATGTTCTATGGTAATGACTGTGTTTGCACAGTGGTCTAAGACCTGGCTCTCTAACACACGGCCAGGCGCACAGCACAGCCGCGTCCGAGTGCGAGCGGGCAGCATTGAGATGGTGTCAAACGCGGCGCGTTTTTCTTTTATTTTTAAAGCATCAGATGTTTGCGAAATGTAAATACTAAAAGGGAAAGAAAAAAAGGCAACTGGAGATACTCTGAATGAAGTGTTCATAAAATGAATAAACAAAAGAAATATTTGACTTTGTTGGTGTACTTCAATTTCGTGGTATTTGTAAAGCATCCTCCGCTGCGCCGAAATGGGGAATAGCCAGCATCTGTTCTATAACGAGTTATGGAGGCTGATGTGCATATGGCTTTACTGATGAACAGGTTCAGGCAACGTGGGCGGGGCACATTCTTAACTTTAGACAAGTCTTTGTTCGCGGCTCGGTTTGTGCGGACACCTCGGGTCCCTTTGGCACGGACTAGGCGCCGCTGCTCGATTTTACACGCCATATATCTGTACGATAAAAAAACACCAGTGTCAAGTGAGGCATCCGAAAAACGCTACTGCTGCCAATGACTGCATGGCAAAGTACAGCCAGTTCTTATCATGCCATAAGAGTCACCAAATTCATATTCTTTGATTTATATATATATATATATATATATATATATATATATATATATATATAT